TTTTTCAAAGCCTATCCCTTGCTGTTGGCGTGAATGCGAACCCCACCGAGGCCGCCAAGTTTTTAACAGGTGGATCAAACGGATCACCTAAACCTGCCAACCTCCCCCCTCCCCCCTACTAGTTACTTATGCATCTGGTAGTCATCTGATGGATTCTAGATTGATTGCTTAGGGAATCCTGCTTTTCAGTCAGCTAACTGTTTCAGAATTGGTGGATTCCATGCGTTGCAGTAAGCTGGGCGGCTAAATCGGCCCAAATGTGTTTAAACTCATGGATCCCAGTGGGCCCTCCATAGCTCAGTTGGCTAGAGCGTTGGCGTGGGTTCGAAGCCCATTGAGGCCGCCCGGTTTTTCACAATTGAGTCAAATGAAGTAATTCTAAACATTTCTCTGAACCCTAATTTCCCCAGAATTTGGAACAAGGCCACATGTACTGTAGACGGTTCCTGCTCCCGTTTCCTGTCTACGCGGCCATAGAAGTAATCGTTAACCCGACCGGGAACTTTGGCCTAGGTGCCGACAATTAAGACACCCTATCAACACGGTTGTGGAAAGTAGATCGGGTTGACCAGCGCGTACTTTGCCGTCTTTGCTGCTCGTCCATTCCTACTGTTCTCAGTCGCCCAGCTCTTCTCTACGATGTCTTAGAGCAGAAACATTGCTTGCCTTAACTTAAAAAACATTTCTTTGAAGTCATTCCTAAATAACTTACCCATATGGATTCACTACTTTTTCGTATTAGACCAAGCAGTTTACACGATAATTATCGTCATCTCTTTGGGGCCATTTCAAGGTACGTGACTGAAAGCAAACGTGAGCGCACGCAATACTGGGATGGCTATTGACCGGTCAACAGGCGCTTGCTGTCTCATTGACCCTCTGTCAGCATTCGCCCTAACACCGGCTGCATATTGCGAACGTTTAAGTGAAAAAAGTCGGCGGCCTCGGTGGGAGTCGAACCCACGCCAGCATGGAAGGCTTTGCGCAGCCAACGCTCTACCAGTTGAGCCTCGAGGCTCACCGTGCGCCGTGAATTTTATCACATTTGGATCGATTTGTTTACCCAGCTTTACTGCACGTTTAGAATCCACCAATACGGACACAGTAAGCGGACTGTTTGGTCAATCGAATTATTGAAATCTGCATAACCCCTAACAACCGTTTAGAGTACTGTTTGGGTATGTTGTCAGCTGACAGATATAAATTTTAATGGTCGAAAATATACGAGGCCCAGGTAATAGAATAGAAGGCAGGAAGACGCTCTCTGGGACCAGTA